TTGATATCTCAAAATTATGCTATTTTAATACAAGTCTATTGTTTATATTGTAATATCTCAAAATTATGCTATTTTAATACTATCTATTGTTTATATTGTTAAATGCCAAAATTATATTATTGAAATACATTATATTCTTTATATTGTTTATAAGTTAATATGATGGTATTGTATTAAAATATATTGTTTTATATTACTATAGGCCAAGATGACATTACTGAAATACAAAATGCGCTTTCCTACTGGGAGAGACTCACGTGCCTTCAGTTCCCGCAATATGACCCAGCAAACCCAGAACACTCAGCGAGAATACAGTTTATAAAAGGAGTCGGGTAGAGTTAATGCATGTTATTTACATCACAGGTCGTTTTTGAGTCGTTTTGTTCCTTGAAAAATCGTTTATATAACATCGTCTTATGTGTTGAGTTTCCCATGTGATACTGCGATTGGCTGGGCTGTGTCTTATTTTCTGTCTACTTCTATGAATTTGTTATCCTATTCTGAATTGGTCAACGTGTTTGTCATGAACCTTCTTATCGTTTAATTGTAAACAAAATTATGTTGTAATATTTGTTTGACAGTCGTTTTCTTTATTTTCTGCTATTGGACTCTTCATATTATACTTTTACGTTTAAAGATGCTGGTCTATGGTTGGATGTGTTGGTAACGGAGCTCAAAATATTTCGATAGGAACCGGTTGTGCAAGTGTGAGTAATGATTGTGTTGAATGGTATCAATGTCTAATATAAATTTAGTATTTACGATAGAATAGAATCACAAAGAACAAAAATAAAAAAGTGGCTTTCATATTAAATATTGTTCTTATTAAATATTGTCTTAAATAGTTAATCACCGGGAGGTCAGTGTTGGCAAGAAAATGGACACAGTTCACTATTTTGATTGGGATTTCAAAGTATAGAATAAAGTCCTTAATGAGGACCCTCCTGTGATATGAAGTCCGACCTAAGATAAAATGCCAAGGCCGCAGGGACTTTATAACCAGAAAAAATCAAGTACAATGATCTGAGTTAGAGGTTAGAGTTTGGGATAAACAAACAAATGGATTGATCAAAAAGGTTACAAATTGGCACGGGGATTGATCAAACAGGTTAGACTGAGGCATAAACAGACAAGGTGATTGATCAAACAGGTCAGATTTTGGCGTAAACAGATTGTTTGATCAAATAGATTAGATTTTTGCATAAACAGAAGAATTGATTGATCAAACAGGTTAGAATTTGGCATAAAAACACACGGGGATTGATCAAACAGGTCAGATTTCGGCATAAACAGACATGGTGTTTGATCGAACAGGTTACAATTTGGAATACACAGACACGGCGATTGATCAAATAGTTTAAGTGTAGCCTAACAGACAAATGAAGTGATTGGACATTTTCAATTACCACTTTGATATGAATAAACATCTCTTCTCGTTAACTTTTGAATGATAAAAGCGCAGACATTCTAGCATTCCAGCAAACTATCATTCTATATATATATAGTTTTCATTCCATTGCTATATTTCTATATTTCATTTCATTAGTTCGACGATCATACAAGTCGTGACTGATATTATTTTTTATGTGGCAAGAAGGTAGCAGTAACGTTTTTATTTTCCTTATGTATTTCTCTAACTAGAAAGGAATTATTGTACATGAAGTTGGTCATGCAATAGGATTATGGCATGAGCAAAGCCGTCCGGATAGAGATAATTATGTTATAATAAACGAGGAAAATATTATAGCTGATGCAATCCACAATTTCCACAAATATGGGACCACGACAGCTGAAACATACAACGTGCCTTACGACGTAGGATCGATAATGCATTACCATCAAAATGTAACAGCAATTTTCTGTTTCATAAATTTCTTTCGAATTTCAGTGGGTGGATATTCAATGGTTTATTGCATTTACATACTTGAGTTCATAAAGTGAATACTCCAGGGTTTGTTAGGTGGAAATTCAATGACAAGTTACGTGGATATTCTAGGGTTGGCATATATCAGGATTCATTACATAGATATTCTATGATTATCGAGATTAATGCAGTGGATAGATGCATATATTCCTTGTTATGTCGTCTTAGTGATTTGTAAGATGCAACTATCAGCTGTATGATATGATTGTTTTGTTTTTTCAGGACTTCAGTGTCAATGGTCTGAACACAATAGATGCAATTAACGCGGATGATCAATCAAAAATGGGTAACCGTGATTACCTTACCGAAACTGATATTGAGATAGTTAATATCATGTACAGTTGTCCATGTGAGTATAATATATGATTTGTTGTAGAACAGGGGCAAGTATACCACAATATTTGGATCACTTTGTTCCTATTATGTAATACTCAAATATAAAAAAAAGTTTTTCTTATGCTCAAATACTCAAATAACTCAAAGTTGCAATATTCTTTCTTACGCGACCTGAATAATATTTTCTTTTTCCGATTTAAATCCAACCTTACTGTGTGTTATTCATGTTCCTTCTTCTAAACGCAAAACAACTATTGTATATCATGTAATTAACCACGGATTGCATAATTAAAAAACACGCCCTGACCAATCAGAAAATAGTTATCAGGCAATTAAAATGTTGGTATATTATAATATGTATTGAGTGGTTGTACTGCGATTTTTAAATGATATAATACAGTATGAAATGATGTTTTAAATGGTTAGATGACCAATATTGCTCTTCCGGTTGTATTTGGTCTGATGATGGTGAATGCGACGACGGTGGAGTTATGTCCGCGTACAATATATGTAACTATGGCTCAGACTGTTCAGATTGTGGAATTAGACCTCATCCACGTAAGTATTGGATTGCTTACCAACATATTTTTTTTAAATATTTGTTATTACCGATCGTTTGTAATTTTGAATTTATCTGCAACAATTTTGTACTGTACAGAATGCAATAACGATTGCAAATCGAATGCCGATGGTGTGTGTGACGATGGGGGCCCTAACTCTATCTTAAATGTATGTGATTATGGTAGCGACTGCAGAGACTGTGGAGTTAGATCTGATGCAAGTAAGTATATTTAGTGCATGTGGCGTCTATTCTGGTCTCAACACTTTCCGAGTAAGATTGATATGATTAGTGAAACAGAATAATGTAAATATATATATATACCATTAATAATGATTATTCAAATTTATTATTAAGTCTGTGACACACTGTGTAACAACAATGATGATGGTGAATGTGATGATGGTGGTCCAAATTCAGATTGGAATGTATGTCCATTTGGATCTGACTGTATGGATTGTGGAATTAGAGGTATGACACATTATATTTATATATATATATATTGGCTCTCATCATGTGATAATCAGTTCGATGCTTTGTAACAACTCCGTACTTAATATTTTGTTTACAGTTGGGACGACAAAACGATCTCTGAAGAAAGAAGTACCACAGAAAAAGACGAGTGACGGGAAAAAGAAAAAGGCTACTTCTTCAGAGCACTGAAAACTTGCAGTTGCATGTTGAACATAGTTTAGTTGCACCATTGTAAACGAAATTCCAATAAATATTATTGCAGATAATCATTTTCTGTTCGAGTTGGCTCAACGACTAGACACAATTTTGAGTTTGTAAGGAGTAGCTTCAAAATGATGTTGTTTTCAGGCAGATTATAGGATGTATGCTGTCGTAAATTGTTTGTCACTCACTCACTCACGATGTTTGGAGTCTGTGTAAGAGGGGGTCATCACAATAACAACAACGTGCTAAAATTAACAAGAACCTGTTTGTTATCTGAATTTGAGTGCGTCATAATTGTTTTATTCTGCCAGACGTTAATAATCATAAAGCTGTCATCTACCAGTCAGGGCAACAATTCAAAGGAATACGAATAGAATGTAAATTCAAAGTTTAAAGTGGATAACATCACGATAATTTAGTAATGTTACATTTGAAAACAGTAAATTTTACAAATAATATATATAACTAGTAGCTTCGGGATGAGTGGCGTTCGCGGTAAGTAGCTTAGTGGGTAGCTTTCACAGGGAGTAGGGCTTTGGCGCAGTAACTGGTCTATTCATCGTTTTAGTGAATTCATGTTTTGTGTGTCTAGGAATACTATCCTTAGGAGCTGTTAATTTGCCCTCATGATTTGTGCAGTTACTCTGGTAGGGGTTTCTAAATAAGACCCATGCTCTGATGATGTCTCTACTTTCTTAATCCAAGAACACGTTAGAATAGTAAAAAAGCAAAATATAAGTTGCCCGTACCAGGAGAGCCGCGGAACCAAAACAATCTGTCAGCCGTCGCCGTCCACACCAGCGATATGATTTTACATTCCATAAAAATGAACACTAAATGTAGCTATTTCGGCCAGAAATCAAATCACCAATCTTCATGAGTAGCATATCAAACTTTATGAGTGATGTCATTGTTATTCCCACCTATTTCCAGTAGTCTGAAAGTGAATGTTGTCAAGTTCGAGAGTGAGTTTTTTTTTTCGTACAGTGACGTGAACATTGTTTTTAAAATCACAGACGCGTTTGGACTAGTTCCATTGTCAAGTTTTGGAGAGTACAGAATACGTTCCAGTATGGAATTGTTATGCATATCAAAATCCTTTATTGGAACAGAACATGTTCTATATTCACAAAAAATATGTTGCCATGTTTCTAGAAATATAACAACGAAATAAAAACAAAAGAAACAGTCCGATCGAAACGACCTGCGAATATTATCGCAAATAAACACATGACAAACTGTTTCGCGTCGTAACATATACTACGGGACTGAATCATTGTATACCCTTGAGGGAAATGGAAATTACGCGCTTATGAAGGTGTCATAATAAGCGAGGGTGAAAAACCGTGTTTATGCTTTGCTTTGAAAAGATGAAGATCCTGAACGTATTTTTTGTATGATTGCCTGACGCTTTTAAGTTCATGTACTGAAGGTTAGAGTGCGCATACCTAAGCGGCAGTCCCTCAGCAAATGATATAGCCTAGACATTTTCCGTGTCAAAATCGAGAAACTGTTCGTTCTGGGAAGTCCGAATTACTAAACAAAGTTGAGGAGGACGAAGCTGAAATATCCAACCAACCAACACATACCAACCATTATATCTCAAAAGTAAACATTCGTGGTATATTTTAAGTCTAGCCGGAAGTGAGAATTACTACTCACAGATTATGGTAATTTTCACTTAATAAGTAGTTTTGATATAGCTGATCAATTTGAATCTGATCATCAGCCAATAACCTTCAACCTCAATTTTGCTTTACAATATAATTCAACGAATCAATTGTTTTGTGGTAATCGTATAGTTAAGTATAAATGTGACAACAATTTTAAAGAATCTTTTACACAATTTTGGTCGAATATTGCGTTGAATCCAGCTTATAATGAATTCATTGCTATGTTGACTGACATGGTTTACTCGTCAATTAAAAATAAGAAAATTAATTAATTTTCTCCGAATGGTAAACATAAATCCTGGTATGATAATGAATGTAGCCATATGAAAATAGTAGCGCAGAAGTCATTGAGGATATATAGGAATTGTAATGCACGTGAAAATTTAAACTTGTACCACATTCACAGGAATGCGTATCACTTCTTCTAAAAAAGAAAAAATATATGCATGTTCAATTGCAAAAAAAAATATTTCTGGCGGCCAGAAATAAAGATTAAAAACTGTTTTGGTCACTTTTAAAATCGAATAATGATAGTGT